GGCATTCTCCTCTCTTAGGAGACTAGAATCATACGAGGCAGCATTGAAATGAATGTTCTAGATCTGCCACCTCCATTGATGTCCTTATCACTCTCACTGTTTGCGAAGCCGTGACTCCCACCGCTTGTTACTAAAATTTAAAACCGTTCACTTGCTGCCACCAAAATATGTGAGGAAGTCTCCAAAATGAAATAATGGTGTAAAATCCCAAATAAATAGGATCACCACACAGATGTAATAAAGATTTGAGACTTCTAGCTTAAATTTGCCACCATAATATAAGAGATATTGGTAAAATGATCTCTGGTTATCCCTATCTGTGTTGTGAGGCAACTTTGGTAGTGTGGAATGCTCCAAACGTGGAAATCAGTGAAGGAGGCAAGTTTAAAACACAAAAAGAATAGGTTTATTGTTATCAGAGCGTAATTGTTGCAAAATTAAACTGTTGAACTTGGCACAAGCTTGATGGATACAAAATGGCTTGGTTGAGTTACATTAAGTCTTCCGATGTTACAATCCTTTAACTCTTTCTACAGTGAGGTACTTTATTATTTCAGTGTTCCCTATTGTGAATATTTACAACTGTTTGTCCTTCACCGGATCAAACCAACGATCTCCAGACTTTCACCACTGGGATCCCTGAAACCCTTTCTTGTTAGATTCTTTTCTACTCAAGCAAACTAACGAGGTTCCACCTTCAGCTTCCTAGCTGGGATAATATTCACAAAACCTAAGAACTAACTGAATTTACACTACTCCACAGAGCCCCCTTGACTCTGCTACTCTCCTCAGGGTCTCATCCGCCTGACTGAAAATAAACTGTCGCTTTCAAACCTTTTTTACCTAAGCTCCGCCCACCTCCTCTGGCTTGTCACCATGGCAACCTATCTCTCTCTCAGCTAGGCCCTGGCCACAATGTAAAGCCTAAACACAGTTTGAAACACAGTATAATAAACACTTCTCTACACTGTTACTCTCCTTTTTTCCCCTTACAGTCTTCAAAATTAAGCAGTCAAAATACCAGTATTTTTCCCCAATCCCACCAACACCAACACCACATCCCCATCTCCCCCCCCCCTCCACTAGCCCAGGAACAGTTAACTATTCTTGCTATACTTATTACAATTGTTCGATCATGAGGATAGTCTTATTTAACTCCTTATATTTATCTTTCCCCTTTATTCTGAAAATGAGACCTTCCATTTTGCCTCCCAGGTCCTTCTGATTTGGCCCATCCTATAGTAACTTTTCCTTTCACTAATATAATCTTGGAGTAGGTTGTTACTCTCCTGAGGACAAATGTCTGCTGTGAAAAACCTGCTCAGATTTGTAAGATCCCTATACAATTTGGAAATCTGGTTAATCAAAGCTGTACATTGTTTTAGAGAGTCCCTACTGCAAGATCCCTACTGCAGAGATCCAGCACAAAACTACAGAAGACATAGGACATACAAGGACTAATTTCCACTGGAGATTTAAACTTCTCAAAAAGGTAAGAATCCATTAGGACACCAACTTATCTAACACTCTACTCATTTCTTGTCTTTTGATAAACAATATAGATTACCGTTGAAATTGGAGGTAGGGGAATTTATTTCTAGGTGGTTTGTCACCTGTGCAGTTTTGATCCAAAACCAGGGCAGACATGTTGATTAAAAAGTGTAATAATGTGGAGACAGACATTTAAAAGTGATCAGTTTGGGCTACATTTCAAATTAACATTATCTAATCTACCCACCACTCCCCAAAAAAGACTGGCTTCCTTTTAAAAAAAATCGGTGTTTCATACAGTTGTTCAATTACTGTTTTTAAAATAATAGATGCCACCTTCATATCTTCAGCTGCAATCAGCCTGCCCTGTCTAAAACACTAGCACAAAACGGTCTTCAGAAAACATCATAATGGAAATCCAAATTCATGTCTTGGGCTGAGAATAGTTCGTTCGTTTAAGTTCCAAAACAGAATGGTCTTTATTTTCCATCAAACAGTTTTGTAAATTGACATATTAATCAGGCACCCACAAATATACATTTAGAGCTAATGTATTGTTATGGCAATGATATTTAGTATCACGTGTACAGGTGTAATAGGCACATTTAAATGCAACTACTTGCTGCTGGTGGTCATGCAAATCAGTCTGGCTCAGGATACAAATTATAAATCAATAGCGCATGGAAATGATCTGATTCAGCCCTGGAGAGCAATATTTTTAAACATGAACACACACACGCATGCACGCACAGAGAGGCATAGGGTGGCTTGTTCATACTTTCACATTTCCAAGCGAAGTAGGGCATTGTTTGGAAGAGACCTGGGGATATTTTCTGTACTCTGTTTTCAAAGGTTTGACCTTGCAGCCTTTTCTGAGAGTAAACAGGAACTGCCAGCTGAATTGACACCAACCTTGTGAACTTCCAAATGCAAACATTTACCTAATCAATAGCAAATAATAAATAGCTCTTGACTGCTAGCAGGCAGTGATAGAAGACAAACACTATTCTTGGCCAAGCCAAAAATCACAACACAGGAAGCTTCCAGTTATCTTTTAAAGGACCTAGAACTTTATGCATGAAGTTTGCCATGGATTTTCCCATATGAGCATTGCAAACTAATCTCAATTCCTTACTTTGATGGAAATGTGCTATTAATGTATTTTTAAATAAATATATATACAGTGGCCTTTTCTGACAATTCTTGAAGGCTGGGTGAGGTGATTCAACATGATGATGGATTCTGTATGCACATAGAAATCTCCAAGGTTCGCAAGAAGCTTAGGTCATTTCATCTTGCAATTCATCTTACACACTCATGATTGCTTTGGCTGTCTTCAGATCCAGGGTCCTGGAGGCAATCTGAAATGGGCCTCTATGACATTCTTTCAGGAATATCTTCGTTGAGCAGAAAATGCTGATTAATGTAATATTCAACCCAGTGGTTTGTGATAGAATGAACAGCAGCACAAGTTAAGGTTTGCTGGCAGAGCTCAAAGAGGGCATACCATTGCTCTGATGGGGATATAAACAGATGTAGAGGGTGCAGAGATCTTTCTTTCTTTGTCAGCATAAAACTGAAGAATATGGGGGCAGGTAGGTCAAATGTTTGCAATTTTGCTAAAAGGACATTAGAAAGTCTTTAGAGGACCGGCATGTTATTGCTGAAGATACCTTGGACATTGTCTGATGTACCAAATAGTAATGTAAATATTACATGCAACCACTACAAATTGTCAAAGGTATATTATGAAAATCTTTATACATTTTTGGATGTTCTTCAATTTGGACATCTTTTGCAAAGGAAATTAATAAGAAGGAGATTGCACCAAATACGTATTTTCTGTAAAATGCATCATTTTTGTGTAATAAACATATAAACAAGGAAAAAGTAATGGTTTTTATATTCTTTTGCAAGGGCAAAAAAGGAACCCTTATGGTGGATGACCTTTTAACAATGATGAGAAACATTGTGTATATTCTTTATGCTTCCAGTACCAACTGCCAAGAAAGTTACTCCTGTAAGTCCTTTGGTGAATTGTTTGTTTTATAATATTTTGTGCAAAGATGGCATTTAATGATGCCTAGCTTATTAAGATTCAATATTTATTTGTGCATTTAGCAAATACATTAATTAATAAATACATGAAATAAAAACTATCCTTAGATCTGCAATGTCAAAGACATTTTTGAAAACAATTACATGTCTGATCAGCAACACAATTTCAAGGAATACTTGAAAATGGTTCATATCATACATGTATGCATGCATAAAACACAAATAGAGCCTTTGTTTCAACAAGACACAGTGAAAAATTTCTGCTTTGAATGTCTTTTTGCATGGGAAAATGAGGGAATGGGGGGACAGGTGAGTGAGTGGGGGGGGCAGGTGGACCAGCAATGGGGCAGGCAAATGGGTGAGCGAGAAGGCAAGTGGGAGTGGGATGGCCAATGGGGGGCAGACACACATGCCAGAAGAGAGAGTGTTGATGCCTCTTACGGCACATGTTCCATAGGTTCGCCACCACTGAAATAATGCTTGCAGTTCTGGAGGAACTCTTAATTTTTGCTTCTCATAGACTTAGCATGGAGATTTGGTTAACCAGTTAAAATTAATGAGTAAACCATTCTTTAAAAAGTCTGATTTTTTTTTGGGGGGGGGGGTTGAACCCCTAAAACAAATCACTTCCTTGAGTGTGGGCTTGGCCATAGAGGAACTATAAAACAAAAGTGACTTCAGGTCACATAACAACAAATTGCTTACCAAGCCAACATAATGTAGTGGTTTGAATATTGGATTCAGAGACTGGAAGAGCCTAGATCAGATGACTGCTTGATTATGGAAACCCGCTGCACGACTTTGGACAAGTCACCCTTTCTCAGTCTCAGAGGACAAAAGCAAATCCCCATGTATGCTAAGAAAACCATGTAATAAGTTCACCTTAGGGTCACCAGAAGCTGGAACTGTCTTGAAGGCGCACAAGTCCTTCATCTTATATCATTATATGCATATGCTCAAGAAAGCATTGTGCCTTGTGTCCCTTGTTGGGCTTTGGACCCCTGGTTATCTGTAGTTCCTCAAAAGTTTCCTTTTTATTCTTTGATGCAGAGGTAGACAGACTTTACTGAGTAGAAGGCAACATGGGGTGTTTTGAAAATGATCTGCCCAAGAGTCCATGCAGTCTGGGTCATTTTACTATATCCTAATTTGTGCAGGGAACAGTCCATGTTTTGGAATCAATGTTGCACTACTTTATTCCTATATTTAGCTTATAAGACACAAGATTACAGAGAAGCATCTTTCAGAAACCTATTGCAGAATCTTAAGAAAACATTTGTAAATATAACTACTTCAAAGATATTACTAGTCTAGAAATAGGAGTACTATTTGGACTAGGAACAAGGAGAGCTTAAACCTTGTTTGGTTTAACTGCAATCACTCCTGGTAACAAAAAAGATATTTTATCGTATGTGTAGTACGTAACAATTTTGATAAGTAGCAGCACTTACCTTTTGGACAGATACACAATGGCTTCCCATCAACTTGAGCCAAACATGTAGAATTGTTTATACATGGATTGTAGGGGTCACTACATGGGTTGTAGCGATACTGGCAAATTTTCCCAATATAAAATGGGGGACAAACACAGAGAAATTGACCGTGGACAATGGACTCATAGCAGGTAGCTCCATTCAAGCAGGGCTCAGAATCACATTCATTTATATCTTCACTGCACCATTGTCCAGTCCAGCCTTCTGCACACACACATCTATAGAAAAAGAAAAAAACAGAGGAAACAGCAATCAGGTGAAAGCATTTGTACTTGTACTGCCTTCCTCTATCTGCTCCATTATTTTGATTCTATTTCTACAAGCAATGGCATAAAGCTTCTCAGCAGATAGACAGATAGACAGACAGACAGAAAGACATATTCAGCAAGTGGAAAGGAAGGAGAATGTCTTTTAAAAGATTACAAATGTACAACATGGAAATAAAATACTCCTCATTTATAACTATATGCATAATTGCTGAAACAAATACGTATGTGTGGGACTAAATTATTTATATCCTGATTTTCCATCAGTTATGACCTCAAGGAAGCATATAGATGCAATTTAAAGCCTTATAAAATGTTAACAGTAATAGAAACTGAGCAACAACCAAACAAATGAAGTAATGCAACCTAAAAACAAATAGGCAGTGGCTAAGGGGAGATGAATATTAATTGCTAATAAAGGCTTGAGTGAACAGAGCAGACTGAACATGGAGCTGAAAGATAATAAAAATGGCACCAAGCAAACGTGGCTTGCATGGAAGATCATAATTAAGGCAGTATTGTAGAGAAAGCCTTATCTTCACTAGCCACCTGTTCAGCATCTTAAGTCATAGATGAAGATCTCAACTGATGGGCAGGTTCATATATCACAAAGTAAGCATTTATAAGCTGATATACCATACTGATAATGGTCTTTAAAAGCTGCAACTAGTGCTTTGGATTGATCCTTGAAAGTAAATGAGAGTCACTCAAAAGTTTGAGTTAAACTGTCATATTCTGGGCCAGCTGAAATTCCCAAACACATGCATTTCACAACCTTCAGTTAAAAAGACCCAACAGCATTCATGGAAGATAAAATAATATATGCCTTCTTGGCCTTGAGGTTAAACACAAATAAGAAAAACATCAATATGAAAAATGTCACCCATTGGCTGCCAGCAGTTTTTCCTTCTTTGCGCATTTCCAACACCTGGGTGCAGCCATTGTGTTTCTGTGTTTATTTTTTTTATTTATTTAGCAGTTTTGTATACCGGTCTTCTCACCTCCATTCGAGGGACTCAGGCCGGTTTCCAACATCGAAATTACAGACAGTCATTAAAACATTATATTCTAAATCACACTAAAACATGAAAATAGCAAAATACAGTCATATGATTACAGTGGTCAGTTGTCATCAAAAATCATTATTTGTCGTCATTCATCCATATCACAGGATCATCGCTCATTCATCGAATGCCAATCCCCAAAGCCAAGTTTTCACCTGTTTCCTGAACGTTAAGATAGAAGGGGCAGTTCTGATCTCCAGTGGAAGGGAGTTCCAGAGTCGAGGGGCCACCACCGAGAAGGCCCTGTCTCTCGTCCCCACCAGCTGTGTGTGTGAGGCCGGTGGGATCGAGAGTAGGGCCTCTCCAGATGATCTTAGCAATCTTGATGGCTCATAGGGGGAGATATGTTTGGACAGGTAAATTGGGCCGGAGTCATTTAGGGCTTTATAGATAAAGACCAGCACTTTGAATTGTGCTCGGAAGCTGACTGGCAGCCAGTGGAGCTGGCGCAACAGAGGAGTAGTATGCTCCCTGTACCTCGCTCCTGTTAGTAGTATGGCTGCCACACGTTGGACTAATTGAAGCTTCCGGGCAGTCTTCAGAGGCAAACCCACATAGAGAGCGTTGCAGTAATCTAAATGGGATGTAACCAAAGCGTGTTATATTCTGATAGCCATGGACATGTCTCTAAGGGACATGCAGAAGGGTCTTTCTATTAGACCTTGATAATCAAACAGCTTCAAAGACATTTCAAAGGCATACAATACATAGATTTTGCCAAAATATCTCAGGGCAACAAAATGCAATAGAATGAAAGGAAGGGAAAGAAGGCAGAATGGGCTCACAAATAGAGAAATGTACTGATCACAGCAAAGGTTCTGTGTTTCAATAGGGAATAGGAATAAGATCAGGATTTGAGCAATGTATATTTGTATTTCTACTGCATTACATGCAATACCACATAGAAAGCTATTGTATGTTTCTCCAACTTTTTGGAAGGTGGCCTCTGCCAAAAATGGAATGGGGTATGAAACTGGACAACCCTTTGAAAGATTCCTCCAGTATGATCATATAAATGAAGAATGAGAAAATGGACAGAATTCCTGAGAACCAATGTGGCATCTTAGTTTGGAAACCGAACGAGGACTCTTGAAGATCAGGATTTGAATCTTTGCTTGGCTATGAAAACTTCCTTGGTAACCTTGGGCAAGTCACACTGTACAACAGTCTGCATCCTGTTTCCAATTCTGAACAAAAATTCAGAGTGCTAGTCAAAAACAGAAGATATTCAGTGTAAACTCAGTCCAAGCTGAAGGCACTGTAAATCAAAGTCAGAGTTCTAGGGATTTGCAGTAACCAAGTTAATAAACAATCCAAGGGTCATAAATACATTGAACGCAAGGCCCATCCAGCAGTGTGGCTGTGGAAACTAATCTCCTTATATAGGTAGCCTATTCAGTCAATGGCCTGATTCTATGCAGAATGCCTTGACTGCAGTCTTTCGCTGTTTCAGCAGGAGTTGGAACCTTCCCAGAATCCCTCAACTTTTTCAGAGATTCAGAGGGAGCTTCAGGTCCTCTGAAGAAGAAACTTTTGAGGAACACTTGTGGTGTTAGGAAAGTAAGACATGCCTTCTATGAATAAATCCTGCTGAGAAAACTTTGTGATAGGGTTTCCACTAGGCCTGTGCGGTTTCGTTCGTTAATTCGTTAATTCGTTAAACATTCGTTAATTTTAGCATATACGAAACGACAAAACATATTTTCAAACCCGGAAGGGTTTTTAAATATCGAAACGGCAACCCCCACAGTTTTAACGAGCTTTCGCCCGTTTCGTAAATGGGGCGGGCGGGGCGAAGGGGCGGCGCGAGCGCGCACCCAGTGAGCCAAGCCCCGACCCTGCCTGTTGGGCGCGAGCGCAACCGGCTCCCGATTGACTAACTGCCCGATTCACAGAATGGTATTATACGTACGCGCATGGAGACAGAGCCGGCGCTGCAGGAATCCCCTCCCCGGCTCCTGCGCTCCGGCTCCTGCGCTCCGGCTCCGGCTCCTGCGCCCTCCTCCTCCTCCTCCTCCTCCTCCTGGCACTTCCTGCAACACAGCTGCGGAGGCCGGTTGTCTCTTTAAGGCGCCTCTCTCTCCCAGCTGTGTTGCTGGGAGAGAGAGGCGCCTTAAAGAGACAACCGGCCTCCGCAGCTGTGTTTCAGGAAGTGCCAGGAGGAGGAGGAGGAGGAGGAGGGCGCAGGAGCCGGAGCCGGAGCGCAGGAGCCGGAGCGCAGGAGCCGGGGAGGGGATTCCTGCAGCGCCGGCTCTGTCTCCATGCGCCTATGAGCTCAGTGTACGTATAATACCATTCTGTGAATCGGGCAGTTAGTCAGACCCATCTCTTCTGATGACAAATGTCACACCTATCACATAGGAGTCCTTCCCATGTAAGCAACATCTGACCGAATTCATTCTTCTATACAACTGGGAAAGATACAGGAGTTCTGCTCCTAATAAAGATGGGAATAATATGTGAAAATATTCTAAAATGCAAAAGAATGTTTACTATCAAGTAACCCTGATGAAATGAATCCTGGATTGATAAGAAACTTTGCAGTTATACGAATAACGAAGCTTGTTTTACGCATGCGCGGGGGTCCGCCATCTTTACAAAATGTTTTGTAAATATTTACAAAATTTCGTAAATATCAAAACTTTTTTTTGGAAAATTTTGTAATTATTTTAAATATCGAAACAAAAAAACACCCCAATTACAAATCGATTTTAGAAACAAATTTTTTCTTGATCAAACAGGCCTAGTTTCCAACATATGTCAGAGAGCAGTAGTGTCAAGAAGCTGCATCAAATTTTCACCTTTACTAAAAAAAAGCAAATCTTTTCCCCAAAGGACTTTTAAAAAAACATTGTCATAGTGAGGTAGCTCTGTGTTTTAAAAACAAATCTTAAAGGCTTGACCTAGTAGAACATAGAGAGGTATCTCACACAGTCATACCATCTAACCCGATACTGTCTGCACTGGGTTGTTGTAGGTTTTTTGAGCTATATGGCCATGTTCTAGATTAGAAGCATTTTCTCCTGACGTTTCATCTGCATCTATTGCAGGCATCCTCACTGTCTACACTGACTGGAAGCAACACTCTGGTGCTTTCGAGGAGTGCCCTTCCTAGCCTTTAGACACCAGGGACACAAAGTTCAAAGCTTTGCATTCAAAGCATGTACCAGATCTCCACAGTGTGATAGATATTAGTTTATAATTCTATGTACTGTAAGAATTT